ACATACATGCATACATATATATATAGATATGTATGTATGTACGTACGTATGTATGTATGTATGTATGTGTATGTGTGTATATATATATATAAGTATAGGTGTGTGTACGTATATGTACATAGCTACAGCAACTAAGTATACACCAGTTTATACATAACATGCGAATGCGTCTGTGTCTGTGTCTGTGTCCGTTGATGACATGCAGTGTTGCAACTGTCGGACAGAGGGGGCTTGAAAATCAAGCGGCGAAGCTTTTTTGCTCAGCGTCTTAGCCGAAAGAGCTTGTCAGCAACAGGTTACGCCAGCGTACCTCCAATCTCCGCCCGTCCTCAAGCGCTACGATGTACTTCCATGGCTCAGTACCTGGGTCGAATGCTTCTTTCAGCCTCTGCCTTCGAGACTACCGTGTTGTTTGCCCATAACAGAAGAAAGCAAACATGGATATGACTAGGTTGTATAGCCTTTGATGAGAAATCATGCAACCGAAGCTTCCTTCCTCTTCAATAGTTCCAGCTGCTTCGTTCAAAGTGGTGTCTGCCTCGAGGTTGCGGAGGAGAACACCATCACCAGCTTGGAAAGGTCTGCGCTGCAAGTGCTCTGGCCACATGAGGATTCGCTGGAGGATAGGTCCGCCTGGCAGAAGGCTGAGAACGTCCACGACAACTCGACCAGAGTACTTGTCGAATCCAAGCTCACGTTCCTTCACGGAGGATGTTGCAGACAACGCGGCTTCCGGAATCGAACTGAGAGGGTTGTGTAAGCATGCCGGGGTATGTCTGTGGTTACGAAAAGGGCCCGAAAGGAGACCATCATATTGCAAATCCAACACCGTCCTCGTCGGTCAACGTTGAGACCAAAGCAGCCCTGCCTTCGAGCCCTTCGTGCTCAGTACCCGGCTCGAACTCTGCATTTAGCGTCACCTCAGGAACTCTGACGATACCCATTTCCCTCTATCTCTCACTTCTGCTGCGCTTCTACATGGTGTAGACTTGAGGGTTCATAGAGCTTGGTTCCCCTAGAAATGATGCTTCTGAGCCTGCCAAGGGGCCGCGTCTCCAGGACGGTGCCTTGGGAAAATCAGATTCCGAGGCTGCACGGCGATGCGCCCCTGTCCATCTTCGAGCTCGATGATGCGCCTGCCTGGATGCTCCTCCCGGCTCGCAACTCAAGTTAGGTTCAGCATCCGGACTGAGTCAGAAGCCTCTCTCCAAAGATTATGCTTCAGGGTATCTTCTTTTGTGGAATTCATACCACATGGCTGGCCGTCTGTCAGATGAGCAGCAACACACGGGCCCTGCTTGCATTATCCGGGAAGGGTGCCTTCGACGACCTGGCGGATGCTCCACCAAGTTTTTCTGAGCTGCTCTTTGAAGCTTGCTTGGGAGGGTGCGGGCCTTACTTTTACTGAGTGGCCACGGTCAAAAATCTGCAAAGTGACTTTTCCTGTGGCGTCAAAGACCACAATGCCTTCTCCGGTGGACGGGGAGGTGGCAAATTCAAAGAAGCGCAGCACGAGCCCCAGTCTGCATTGAGCCCATGCTTTTAACAAGCTCGCTGTAGCTTTCGATTCTCGCTGTCTCGAATCATGTATGTAGGGTCTGTCTATTATTTCTGTAAGGGAATCATCTGCTTACCTGCACAGTTGAACCAGAAGGTCCTGTGTTGCAGATTCTACGAACTACGAGCCGGAATACTAGGCTTGGAAAGAACGGTGCGTGGAGAAGAGGATTATGGCAAGCAGGATGGCTAAGGCCAGTTCCGAACACCGCTCCTGCAACTCCTCCTCCGTGGCTTCAGAGAGGGTGCCTGTGAGGCCGTTCAAGTGCTCGGCAGCACTCAAACCCGAAATCTCCACCAGAGAGCCTTCGCTGAGTTCAGCAACTTGCCGGCGCTCTAATACCTCGCTCCCGAATTTCAGGAGCTTGTCGAAGAGAACGGAGCCCTGCATTATTTGCATGAGCTCCTGAGTCTTGTCGTTGGACTGGAGCCAAGACCAGACAGCTTGGGGATCTGAGAGAAACTTGGCCAAGGGATCAGAGTCTGCAGCGCCTTCCTGTGCAGCCGCCAGTTCCTGAAAGGTGCTGTTGTACTCCTTCAGCTGCCCCTCATCTTCCAGCAACTCCTTGAGGATGCTCTGGATGTTATTGGCACCATCTGGCCTGGAGTTTTTTTGTTAAGGGATTTAACTTAAGTTACCATAATAGGGATCTATAGTAAATAAGTAAGTAAATATTAGGGTTCTTGTTAAGGGATTTGACTTAAGTTACCATAATTTAGGGATCGATAGTAAATAATAAGGTTTCCGTATTATGGTAACTTAAATCAAATCCCATTAACAAGAGCCCAGTGGCTGCTCCAAGAGCTCCCGAAAGTCCTCGGCGTCCAGGGGCCGCCGCGTGGAGCTCTCTGTGGCCCTGCGAGCCAAGGAGGAGCCTCGCAAAACCAAGGGTTCAGGGTTTTTTCCCACCCAGTTTTAGGGTTTTAGGGTTTTGGGGTTTTAGGGTTAAGGTTTAGGGCCAAGTTTAGGGTTGCGAGCCAAGGAGGAGCCTCGGGGAACCAAGGGCGCAGCCACCGGGAGCCTGAGAAATGCCCAGGTCGAGGCGAAAAGTGTAAGCACGGCCGCCTCGGATTTTTTGTCAGGAGACCGTGACCTATCGGAAAGGCTGGGATGTAGTGGGAGGGGCTGGAGGTAGCGAGCTTTGGGGGGGCACAAAACCAGCGACTAAGGCATTTGCTCTTTTTGGGTCTCAGCCTACCCTGCCCTGCCGTGCCAACGGAACTGAACCAAGCCAGGGTGCACATCTGCAATTGCAGCGCTGCCGCCGGCCGATTTGCGACGACATGTGAATCATTTTGCTTTGAAGCGGTCTCTGCGTTTGGCACAGGCCAGTGGTGTTTGGTAGCTCACGGTCACTGTTTTTGAAAGAATGCTTGGCTTCAGCGCATGTGCCAGGGAGTCTTTGTCCAACGACAAACCATCATGAAGCATGAACAGCTGCATAGACTTGCTCAGCCTCAAGCCCGACTAACTTATATCCAAGTCTGCACGGTGGAAGTGCTAAGCTCACCACCCAAGAGACTGGGCGCCCGTGTGGTCGCACAGCCGCATCCACGTAGCCTCCCACGGCAGTCTCACGATTATGACATGGCTTCGCTACACTGCAGCAAAAAAAAGGTGTCATGTATGAGAACATGCAAGGAACAGCAACAAACATAGCCGTCATGATACAAGTATCAGCAGTAGCAGCAAGAGCATCATAATCAGTCACGAATCAATACTGAAAATGCAGAAATATATGAAAATATTCTATAAATTCATACTATCATCCCTTCAGCCGAATGGGAAAAGTTGCACTGAGTTTGAAGCCTCCTAAAGCTTCCGCCGCATGGGGATTGTGCGCGCCATCGAGGAGCACCCGTCCCGCACCGGGCAACGGAAGCCACTCCAGGCGTCCAGCCCTGCAAGACCCAAGTTTCCAGATTTAGAGTTGAGCTTGGGGAAGGGTTTTGGTTCTTCTCTGCTGCATCCTTGGCAAGATTAAAAAATTCTCGGGATCAGGCCACTTTGTTGCAGCCATGCCAGCTGCAATGGTACCTGTCGCAGGTGCTCTGAGCCAAGCCCGAAGATCTAGCCTTCCGACTCGGGCAGCTGCTGTCGCTCAGTAGGGAAACGTCGAGTACCTGCTCTCGGCCTTCAGGGCGAGCGCTCTCCGTCAAGCTCTGCGGGATTTGGGAGCGGCTCGCCCAGTCGTCGCGTCTCTAAGAGCGGAGCTTCGAAGTTGAAGCTGCTGACAACGAAGCTCCAGCAACATGGCCTCGGACCCCCGCATTCCGCAAAGGAAAGGTGATCAGAAGCCCGAAAACCTCAATCCCAAAAGGCCCTAAGCCTAAGCCCAAAGACTCAGGCAGCTGCCAACGCGAGAGCTGCATTCGAGCGTTGATAGTCGCCTGGCATTCTGGCATTTGAACCATTGTCTCTCAACTTAGCGGCTCCCAAGCCCCTGACTTCAATTCCCTGAACTACACGAGACATGCTGAATGAAAGCCTCCTGATTTGAAGGTAGAATCCATAATAATCGGCAGCAGACAAAGCTGAATAAACAAAGAATCCTCATCCAATGGTTATTCCTTGAACTGCACCTACATGCCCCAACGCTAAACCTTCACAACAAACCCTAAGTAGCCTTTCTAGACCCGTTTGCGGGTAACCCCTAACCGTAAATCCGAACACTAAACCCTCTTTCGAACCCGCGCTGAGGCCGATGCTTGTGACGGGAGAGAGCGTTCTCCGAACGGCTGACAGCAAACCTAGAATCCCAAACCCTAAGCCCTAAACTCCCTAAACCATTTTTGTGCAGCCAGGGCCTCCTGAGGTGTTGCCGGGTTATACCCTAAACCCTTTTTTGAACCCAGACTCTGCCAAACCCTAAACCCCAAACCCTAAACTCCCTAAACCCAATCCCTAAACCCCAAACCCCAGACCCTACTAATCCCTAAACCCTAAAAATGCCAAACCGTGAGGGATCTTGGAGTCTCTCGCAAGCTCGAACGGTTCACCCAAGAGCGGCAAGCGAAGCTCCTCGCTGAAGCCTCGGACCTCAAAGAAATTATCCTAACCGTAACAGTTGGGTTGAGGGTTTGGGGTATAAGGTTTAGGGCTTTGGGTGTTTAGGGTTTAAGGTTTAGGGTTTCGGCGCTCACACTCGGACACTCCAGGCGAGGCATGTGGTTCATGGTCTGATTGCTGTTTAAGGCTCTCTAAAGAAGGGTCCGTTTTAGGGTCCGTTTTATGTAAGGGTGCCGTACTATATTGGGGGGACCTTAATTTAGAGAACTACCCATCACAATAACAGTAGTAGTACTAAGCATAGAGAGCCGAGCGGCTATTCACAAAACGTGGTCCCCAACGTAGGATGAATACACAAATCAGGGTTCAATATAATAACAACAACACTAAGAATAAGAATAAGGATAATGATCAAAAGAAGAGTTTCAAACACAAGAATGACAACAATTGTAACATTAGTAGTAGCAATCCGAGGTAGTAATTGCAACGCTATGAGAAAGGGCAATAGTTCTAACATTCAGATATAGAGCTGATCACAATACTTCTGCTCATACCAGTCCTGATAGTACCAAAACCAACGATACCACACTACTCATATGTGTCATGCTAAGTCATACTACAACGACACAAACAAGAATACCAACAAGAAGCTACCAGCATTGGTAGCGCGGATCTTTGCAACCAGAGTTCTTGCCATGTCGCCGAGAATCCCCAAACCCCGGACCCCCGAACCCCAAAGCCCTAAGCCAATGCCGAAACTCACGAGGAAGCTTCAGAAGCTCTGGAAACTTCTCATTGGTAGGGCGCGTTCACGGAGGAACTTGTACGTATAAAAACCGCCTGAACAGTCATCACCATTACGCTTTTTTCTCACTATTCCGGTGCTATACCGTGGGTTTGCACGCCCTAAACTCCCAATCCAGACCAATTATGGTTCTTCCTGTTACTGGGAATAATAACAATAATGATAATAAGACTTATTAAGAATAATGATGATAGCACTAATAGCTATATTTTATACTTAGTAGCATTGCTGGGACTCCGGCCCTGAGCACCTGGACTTCGGCGATGATCTCGCCTGCGGTAACGAGGTTCTTGGTTTCGGCTTTTAGGGGTACGTAAGCTGCGGCTTATACCTGGACCCCTAAAGTATGTCAAATAACAGCCAATTTAAGGGTCCTGGGCCAGTATTTTACCTAGTTTTTTGGGGGTTTAGGTAGGGCCTAAGGCTTACGACGATTCTCCGCCTCCCAGAGTCCCTCATGCGGACTACTTCTCTTTTTGTTCTCGCTTGGAGACAACTTGGGGTTTTTTCCCTCTCGCATGGCTAAGGACAACTTGGGTTTAGGGTCTAGGGTGGAGGCTCCCAGACCACGAACTCGCAAGGAGAAAAGACGAAATCTGATGAAGGTTTCAAGCAAACATGCAAACACATACAGATAAGCTTAGATGTCATAAACGGGAGGGCCTGAGGGACTCCAAGAAAGGGCTAGAAACCCTAAACCAAATGGCTTAAAAAGGTTTCGACTCTCACACTTGCGTTGAGGGTTCAGGCTTTCAACTCTCTCTCGACTCTAAGGTTCTAGGGAGTCTCCGCAAAGCTGAGGCATGGATCAGCATGCGCCCTACCAAAAAACAAAAACATGTGTATATATATATAGATAGATAGATAGATAGATAGATAGATAGATAGATATATAGGCTCCATAGTAGCTACACAGTAGGGGGTATCTGAGTATCGCAAAGACACCCCAGATCCACATCTCTGCTTGGACTGCAGCTCATCTGCTTCGCTGCTTCTGCGCCTGCTTCTTCGGCTGTCGGTGCCGCTACCTTCCAGTCGGAGGGCTCTCAGAGAGTAACAAACTAATGCTCTAATTTGGCTGTAACTATGCACATCGTACTGACAGTATGCTTATGACAACCATAAGCATGCTAATAACAACAACAGTTACGTTATTAGCACGATTAAGACTTAATTTTGCCAGTCGTAGCGAAAACTGTTTCGGAAAAAGACACTCACAAGGAAATAGTAGCGCGACATGCCTTTCAATCCGGGCCGTAAGCACTTGAAGCAAGCCAGAGCCTCAGCAGGCTCCACCCACGTCACGGGCCTGGCATCAGGCAACTCAGAGGTTACGGCTTCGGTATGCATGCGACATCCAGGGGTGTCTAGAGTTTAAGGGCTGTTCAGGTTTGAGGCTTGCGCTTTGAAGTTTAGAGCTCTGGCGCCAAAGTCGTAAGTTCAGAGTGTTTTAGGTTGAGGTTCAGGGTTTGGGCATGCGTACGGGTGACATGTACCTACGTAAAGACAAGGTCCGCACATACAGACATAGTTACAAAGATACATGCGTTTATGCTACACCCTGAAGTAAGAATTGCAAGCATGTATTCATATAGGCATGCAGACACACACACACAGGCATATGTAAATATATATGTATATATATATATGTATGTATATATATATATCCATATGCGCACAGAGAATTACATGCACGGGAGCTGCAGACACGCTTGACAAAGACATGTATGTTGGACTGTTAATACACACATGTTTGCAGGAATGCAGAAAAGCTGATGATTCTGCATTATGCATTTGTACATGTACCTAATGTACCGACAGGCTGTCTGCATGCATGCAGAAACAGACACATCCATATGTGTACACATGCATACATTATTAAAGGCATGCTTGCATGCATACACACCTCTATACATATATGCGCAATCGCAAATCGGGGTGCACATGCTGCTGCATGGTGACCGTGAATGCGGAGCCTGTTGCCTTCATGCATGCCAGCTGGCACTCATATTTTCCAGCATGGAATGCTTCCTTCCGATGGAGCCGCGCCACAACGTGCATTTGCCCAGGCACCAGAATCGATGGGATGCCGGGTTATCCTGCAAGAAGATCACTAGCACAGCAATTGGTACAATCAAGCTGCTCGCCCGCCCTCGACAGCCAGAAACAACTTCCGCTGTTCAATCCCGACCAAGTCTCACCCTTTGCTTCCATAAGTGCGCAAAATATGGGGATGCACACGACTTGGGATGTCAGCGTGAAGGGGCAGTCTGAGTACATGCTTCTATTCGTATACTTATAGATTTGACATGTATGTGTTTGGCACGTGCAGGCCTCGCCACAGCTAACCATGACACGGACACCGTAACTAATACACGAGCGACCGACGTTCGGCTGCGCCCTGACATGAAAGCACTGCTGCCAAGGTGCTGCATAGCCCTGCATTTCCTTGAGGAGTTCTTGGTCGGAGTCGCCCCCCGCACGCAGCCAAGCCGTGATCGCCTTTTGCATGGTGCTCGAAGCCAAGGCGGCGTTCCGGGAGACAAGGGCTGCATTGAAGGCATCGTTTAAGGTGCGAGCATGCAGCCAGAGGTCGCCCCCGAACTCTGAATCGATGATCGCAGACAGGCGGCATGTTAGCCTGTATGCCTCCTCAGGATCTGTTTTGATCTTTTCCTTGACTTTTTGGTCGAGAGCCCGGAACTCCGCCCGAAGCGACTCACTTTCGGCCCGTTTGGTAGCGGATGGCTCGCTGCAAACCTCACAGAAGCAAAGGAAGTGGTGGGAGCTCTGCAGGCGCGAGCGGCGCTGCTCAACGGAGCTCTCCAGGTCCGGCAAGTAGCTGATACAAAGCTCCTCCCCCCTTTTGCAGTCCTGTTAGAAGCCCTCTAAGACCTATAGACCCTAAACTGTTGAAGCTAGCACCAGTATCGCTAGAAGACACTGCAAATCAAGTCAGTAGTGCATGTTTATCTATGTGCCTCTTGCTCCCTCAGTCCTTGGTAACGTGCATCTTCAGGACAGCATCAGCTTTGTCCCCCCAGTACCAGACCACATTCGGGCGGCAGCTGTGATTGAACCGAGCTCCTTGCAGAAAGCAGCCCAACATCTGCTTGTCACCATTTCGCGTGAAGGTGTTCGTCCTGCAAATGCCGATCGCCGACTTTGCTGCACCAGTACAATCCTCCAGTTCCCAGAACCTGGGCTCTTTTTCAGGAAAGTAACTCAAGTCACCACACTGGGACCACACTTACATGGTTTCCACATTGCGATGACCAAAACTATAAGTTCCTTATCGTGAACCAAGAAACTGACGTTGGAGACTTGCATCGAGTCGGGAAATCATCTCCCGTAACTCAGCCTCGAAAGTCTCCCTCTTGTCCTTCTCCAGGGGAAGTGCGCTCTTCTGCACCAGGAAGGCAGGTGGCTCCTTGCATGCTGTTGAAACGCGATCACTTTTGAGACTTTTGACCGAAATTGGGCCAATTAGCATGTGCTTATATAGGTCTTAAACAAAGTACCAGGAACCCCTACTAGGCCAGTTCGGATGAGTCACACTCAGGATGCATTCACCTTTCTCCAAGTCGCGTAGCCCCGAGACTCCCAGCCCCCGGCCCGGGAAAGCCTTGATTTCCCACGGTGGCTCTGCCATGGCTCGAGCCTCTCTCCTTTTTTAGATGATTCAGGGCCAAAGGTTTAAAGGGCTTCGTTTGCAGGTCTAAATGCTAAACCAAAAACCCCAATATCATCCTACATTTCTTAACCTTAAGTCTTGGTGCTAGGGCCTGGGCTATGTATGTATGTATGTATGTATGTATGCATGTATGTACGTACATATGTAATTATGTATGTGTAAGTGTATGTGTACGTACTTGTCATCATGTAGCATTGGAGTGCTTATTCTTCATCCGTCACCTGCTGCTCGCCTAGCCCGCAGCGTCTTTTCATGTGTTGAGATGCGAAACGCCGCAGCCATGGTGGTTTGATTGGGGCTATGTGCTACCGATGCTCCTGACCTGCACATCTCAGGGTCTGGCACAACAAATTGTGGTGTCCTGCGCAAATCGCAATCAGGACAGCCCGACAAAGAGCTCACCGCTTGCGCACAGTCGTCTATGACCTTCTTCACCTTACCGCTCAAGACGAACCTCTCATCGCCACACAAGTAGCCGCCCGACAACATTCCGGTGCCGCTGAGTCCGGCGCACTTTGTGACATCCCCGACGTAGCCACAAAAGCGGGACGATTCGTTTGGAAAATACCTGCCTGATCGGGGGGAAGTCTCACACGACCAACGGTGGCAAAACGCCGGAAAACTCTCACCCTGGGCCTTGTGGCCTGCTATCTCCTCACGAGTCGAGCCGAGGAATTTCTCGTGGTCCATGGCTATGCTCGAAATGGCGCAGGCCTGGTCAGCGTGATTTCAGCCATCAAGCGGTGCTTGGGGGGGAGCTATCTGAGTGCTGTCAATGGTGAAACCGAGGGACAGCAGGCTCGATGAGGACGTTAGTGGCGTCGTCGCGACCCCCCATGCCAACCTCCGTGACACACGAACCGTAAACCAGACCAGAAGCTGAGGGGCTGCACTGTGCCGACACACAACTTCTCCACTGAACCTTAACCTGGATCCCGGATCATGATGGCTATGGTCGGTCATGAGATGCCGGGGGCATGTTCCAGAGCAACCAAGTCATGACCGGGTGAAACATCATGACCCACGCGCTGAGATAGCGGCAAACACCTTGAGACACAGGAACATCGCATCGTACTGGGGCAGTATGGTCAGTACGGGGTATTGGGCTGGCGAGACCGACATGGAAGCATGGGGAAGAGCGACACCTTCTCCAAACAACATGTCGGCTCTGATGGACGGTAGCTGGCACAGCAGCGCTTTCACATATTTTCAAGATAGCGGCCAGCCTCCACAATGGCAACATCAACCTGGTCGCACAGAGGCATTCGGAAACTCAACGGACTGATTCGGAAACTACACCTGGGTTCAGAAACCAGAGCGGCAGATTCAGGAACCAGATCGGCTGATGCAGAAACGGATTCAGAAACAAGACGCTCTGGTCCCAAATCGCACTAGACCATGGACGTCATTAGGTTTTGGACATACAAGCGCTGGACCATGGACGTCATTAGGTTTGGGATGGATGCTCTGTTCCCAAATCGCCCTAAACCATGGACGTTGCTCTGGTCCCGAATCGCCCTAGACCATGGACGTCTTTAGGTTTTGGACATGGGTGCTCTGGTCCCAAATCGCACTAGACCATGAGCGTCATTAGGTAGTTGCTCAAGCGCAGTAGTTGAACCGCTGGGCCAGTTTCTGAATCGCGGCAGTTGCTGAAGCGCAGTTGCTGAACTGCGGCATTTGCTGAATCGCGGCAGTTGCTGAAGCGGGCATGGTTTCTGAAGCGCAGTTGCTGAATCATGTACTGATCGTTTATAAATCTATAGATAAGCATATATGGAATATACAGATGCATAATTATTGAATCTGAAGTGACTCCAATGACACATCGCAGGCTTGCTGCGGCACCTGCTGTCGGGCGAAGAGCGTCAGCGCCATGACGACTTGCAACTCAAACGTTGTGAGTGAGAGCGTCCTGTAGAATTTAGGGCGGGTATAGGGGTTTAGGGTTTGTGTGCTGCTGGTCGGAGAAAGTGATTTGTGGGATCCAGCCATACCATGGTCTAGCAATTTGGGGGGATCCGAGAATGTCGCCAAGCCCTCACCCGCCGTGTGCGGCGGAAAAATCTACGACACCTTCTGCTAGACTGAAAGGAACATCGAAAAGAAGTCGGAGCAACGTGCACACTCATTCGTGTGACCGTGCACTGGGAGCACAGAAAGACGGTTCAAATTCAAAGGTTTGTCGCCAGGGGCAGAGCTCCTGGCATCTGCTGCTTGCTCTGCTGGCCGGCATAGTTCAACGATCTCATCCTGGAGGGAGCTCAGCTGCTCTTTCGGGAAGTCTTTGTCCTCACAGCACAAACAACATGAAGGCCCGCGCACTCAGTGACAACTACGAATGAGATATTCTTTTTCAAGCCAAGGTCCATACACCGTCCTAGACCCCAAACCCCTAAACCCCTAAACCCTAAACCCTTAAACCCTTAAACCCTTAAACCCCTAAACCCCTAAACCCCTAAACCCTTAAACCCTTAAACCCCAAACCCTCAACCACCTTTAAACCCGCAATCCCCCAGGGGTCCTCGCCATCCTCTGCTAGGCGGAAAGCATCAGAGGGCTCGACGAGATGAGGCGACGTAAACATCGCAACGCGCAGCTTCGCCTGCCTCCAGGGAACTGGCTATAAGGGTTTAGGGTCTAGGGTTCAGGCTTTGGGGTTTAGGGTTTGTGTGAGCTTCGGGTTCAGGATTTAGGAACTCACAGCGCGGGATGAAGCAATACCACCTGCAATCCGGGGCTGATCCGGCAGTTAGCATGTCGGGTGCCTCAACGCAGAGAAGAGCATGGCGCAAACCTCGAGTGGCACCATGATCCACAGAAGCATCCGACATGCACATAAGCTGCGATGGCCGACTCCGACAATCTTTGCCAAGCCACGCTCCCTTTGCCATTGGTGCCAGCCACGTGCAGCACGCGCCCTTTCAGCGATTGCTGAGGCGAGCCAAGTCTGTCCAGGGCCGCCAGGACCCGACCGAGGCCCGGGTCGATCTCTCCACGTGGCATGGCGGATGGATGCGGATGGCACAACGCCTGGATGAACCGATTTACTGTATGTCTGTAGGTTGTGTTCCGTAGGTTGTCAGGGGTGAATGGACTCCAGACCGCAACCTGCCGCGGCTATGCATTCTACCGTGAATCTCCGAGCTTCCACGGCCCTATGGTTTCCTGAAGCTGTCGCAGAGTGAGATCGCAGGTTCGCAGTTCTGCTCCCTTGATTGAGGGGTTCTTGCAGCCCCCCGTGCTTAGGAGGGGGAGGGGCAGAAAATGTAGATTACAATTTTCACTCCCCCATCGATACGAATGCGTCAATTGCAGGATCTCACTTCTGGGTCTACGTTTTGCAGCTACCTC